ATCACCTGCCACCACACACACCACCTCCATCACCTGCCCACCACACACACACACACCACCTCCACTGCCCACCACACACACACACCACCTCCATCACCTGCCCACACCACACACACACACTACCACCTCCATCACCTGAACACCACACACTACTACCACCTCCATCACCTGAACACCACACACACACATTAAAACACTTTCACCACACGTCCGTACACAAATCATCACCATCACCACAACTACATCACCCCTCTGACTGGTATCCACATCTCCATCACTGTCAGCCTCACTACCGCCACCCATTACACCACCATGACCACAATACCATTACTACCATCACCCACACTGCCACCACCATCCACAACAACACCCAAACCACCACCTACACTATCACTGCCACACACACACCACGTCAGCAGCACCTGGTGGAGCATGAAACCAGAAACACTTTCCCGTGTGTTCTGGAGTGATGTGTCTCTGAGCATAATACTAAACTTATCACATAATTTTGTAAGAGAGAAGGGAGGGAGCGGGTAGACAGGTGGTGCCATGAGGGGTGGATGGTGTAGTGAGGGGGGGAAACTGTATCGTGAGTGCCACACTGTGTCGTGAGGGCCACGTGGTGTCGTGAGGGCCACACTGTGTAGTGAGGGCCACGTGGTGTCGTGAGGGCCACGTTGTGTCGTGAGGGCCACGTTGTGTCGTGAGGGCCACGCTGTGTCGTGAGGGCCACGCTGTGTCGTGAGGGACTGTGTCGTGAGGGCCACACCGTCGTGTGGTGGCCGATGGTTACTTCACTTGGGAACCTGGTCAAGGACTCGATGATGACCTACCTACAACCCCTTGGCTCCTGCCTCACCCTCCACAACCACCCGCAAACACCATCACACACCAACACCCACACCACCATCACCACTACCACCAGTTCGCCACCCACAATACCACCATCACACACCACCAACACAACTAACACTACCACCCACACTACCAAAACCAACAAAAACACCATTCACAACACTACCACTGCGGGAACTCCGGAAAGTTCAAAAGGAGGCTAGATAGATTCATGGATGATAGAGTGGTAGTAACTCTCGACAGGAGCTGCCATGCACAGGCCAACCGGCCTATTGCAGACTCCTTATTTTCTTATGTTCACCACCCACACCCATATTTTCGTCACCACCACCTCTATCCACACCACCACCATCCACAACACCACAACGGCCACCTCCACCACTGCCCACACTTTCACCACCATTAACATCCACACCACCACCACGACTCACACTACAACCAGTAACCCAAACCACCGCGTCCATAATCTCTCCTAGTTGTAGTCCAGAATGGGTGGCAGGTGGCAGTGTGTCACTACGGGACCAAAGGTTAGGGCAGCAGACTATCACTTTCTATGGAGAAGGGGACAGCTTGGCTACAAACTTGTACACTCAACCAGGTCACCTCCTATCTCCTCCTTTCTTCCTTGTCTGTATGTCTGTCTTCATCTTATAAATCATCACGGCCAATACAATAAAGTCACTTACACAAGGCCCATGTGTTCTGAGGTGACTTGCATGGAATGGGCTCAGTACATAGGCTTTGATCATTAATATCTTATAGAAAACACAGTATAACAACTTGTTCAGCAATATTACACCGCTATATAATGGTGAGATTCTTACTTTAATTTTCATTCATCTATGAACTATCTTTTTACGTAATGGTATCCCACCAGGTAACTGTCCCACCTCAACGATCATGTATGTCAACTTTCACTTCAATGGATAAAGTGGTTCTGGGCTGGCAAAAACATATGAAGTTTACAGGTGTACGCCATAAAAAAATGGTCACTAGACACCACAAACTACGCTATAATAATATAACCTGTCCACAGATATCTAACTAAAATTTAGTAAAAACCTGATCACTGAATGTGAATCATAAGCTGCACGTTGAGGGACAAGGCCCAGGACCACACGCTCGTCTCACCTCACCTTCGTCATCTTAACTAAAAACAATAACAGAACAATGACCAGGAAATTAAACTGGTATTAACAGTGTCCTGTACTTACCAAACTGGTCTTCAGTCTACCAGACCATTCTCGAATCTACCAGTCTCCCACACCTACCAAACTGGTCTCGTCTAGCAGACTATTCTCAAGTCTACCAGTGTCCTTATCATCGGTCTACCAGACCACCCTAGAGTCTACCAGTCACCTACACCTACCGAATTGATCTTCAGTCTACCAGACCAACCCAATTATCGTGTAACAATATACAGTCGATCAAAAAACTATCCTTACAAATTTATGTTAGACAATATGACACAACGGAGATTTTGGCAACCCTACCGAGACAGCAGTAGTTGCAGTGTTCCTCTGAAATTCACCGATCCCCCCCCCCCCTAGCCAAGCACGGATAGGGAGTATTTTGATTGTAAGTACCAAGAGCCACCAGACCTAAAAATTCTGGTTTTGTTTCAGCAAAACGGTGGAGTTTATTAAATAGAAACCTAAGAGAGAAGTCAATGACAGATTCCGATATTATTATATCTTATGGAGACATGCCTATAACTATCTAAAAAAAGAGGAGGAGGGGGGGGGGGCGGCGGGGGATCAGTGAGTTCCTTGCATCAACACATGGGCATGTAATACGGTGCGGTACGAAATTATGGTAAAGTACAGTTATGAGGGTGATAAAAGTTCGGTTCGATATTTTTTTTCAAAGTACGGTATGGTACGGAAGTACGGTTAATTTTTCGTACTTTTATTGGACCATTTCGAACCAAGCCACTCCATTGTAATGTTGGCTGGCCACGTGGCCAAGACAATAGCTTGGGACGATGCAGGTGTGCTCCAGCCTTCAGGTGAAGCCGTGACGTCAGGTTAGGTGAAGCCGTGAGGTCAGGTCAAGTCAGATCCGGCCACACTCAGTGAGCCAGAGACACCCCTGTTCGTTTATTGGGCTCGCGCTGCACTCGCGGCGATGACGGTCTTCCATACAGTGACACAGTCCGTTGCCCGACTTGACCGACGTCTGGAGCCGCTTATCTCCTGGTCCCCACCCCCAGCTGCCGAGTCCGAGCGTGATGTAGCTCCCTCCACCAATCACGGCACTGCCTCATCGCCCACACGCAAGCTGTGTTAAGCCATGGCACATTTTTTCTCTCACTAAAATTCCCTTCCATCATCCCTTTTAAACTTCCACTAAACCTCCTTCCCCCCTGTCACTCGCCTTTATTGATTGACCCACAAAATTACATTGCCCCAGGAGGGAGGATGCCTCTGCCAGGCTTTGACACACACACACACACACAATGACACATTCTCACTCCCGAGTCTTTGTGGGCTAGGGACATAAAATTAAGTAAAATGTGTAATTTAGTATCAATACGTTGGTATGTACTGAAAAAACAAAACGATATAACAGCATTCACATAAACATGGAAAATCTTACTCACGTGAGTTACCTGTCGAATACCAAATTGCAGGTTACAAATTATTCCATACCGATAGGTAGATTAGGAAAGGAGGCGGAGCAGCAATCTATGTCAGGGATAATCTGAAGTGTGAAATAAATAAGGAGATGAAAACTGAGCGAAACACAGAAACAATTTGGATAGAATTAATCGATGGTAGGGAAAAATTAATCACAGGAGTAATATATAGACCTCCTAATCTTGATAGAGTTAATGGGCGACTTATTTGGGATGAAATGCGCAGGGCTTCCATACAAAGCAAAGTCTGTATAGCAGGCGACTTCAACTCAGAATCAGAGGATTTTCTTAAAACAACCCAGGACTGTTTAGTTTGGAAATAGAGTAGTCGACGAGTGGAACAAGCTACCAAATATCATCATTAACTCTAATACGCTAGATAGCTTCAAACAAAGGTTGGATGGAAGGATATATGAGCGATAGGGGTTGGGTGTAAATGGAACTGCACAGTATGGGCCAATAGGCCCGCTCCAGTTTCCTTCATTCTTATGTTCTTATGTACCGAACCGCATGCTCTGCACATGGGCGCCAACATCTTGAATCTGACGAGAATCGAGACAGTCGAGCCTTTACAATAAACATGGCTGTTTCTGTCCTGACATGCTGCTTCACAAGTGTTGACACAATAAGAAAGAAAACATTCCAGCACGTGTGGACCACCAATAATTTTCAAGCAATATAATCCTGAAGATTTAACAAATATAAATTCAGATATTTAAAGGTAATAAAATATTTAATTATAAAATATTTGACATTTCCACCCAGCCTATTTTTTCTAGGATATGTATGAAAAAAACCAGGTAAATTTTATTTTGACCTCACAGTACACGATGACAGCATCCATTGATCCAACACGCGGCGTTACCGATAATGTGGTACTAACCTTAGGACCACAGCATTTCTTCCCAGCTTAACATATCTAACACCTAGTTATCATTATCAATCAATGTACTACAGTAACAATTGTGGTGTTCAACATGCTTAAATTCGACAGGTGTGGTGTTGGACAGGCGTGCAGTGTTCGTCAGGTGTATTGTTGGACAGGCGTGGAGTGTTCGTCAGGTGTGGAGTGAACAACTAGTGCGTTTAGAGTTCAACAGGTGTGGAAGGTACACTGACTAAGGTGTTGTAATCGTGGGGAGAGGCACCGTTGAGGAGCCTTGCATGGCTGCTGACCTTCTTAGGGTAAACGCTGGGAAAGATGGAAAAAGCAGTGGTGTGAGCGTTTCCTCAGCGAGCACTTGTGTGTGAGTAGTGGGTCCTTGTGGCGCGGGGGAGGGAGGAGGAGGGCGTGACCCACCGCTAGCCTTGACGACTGACCCCCTTCTCCACCTCCACCCGTTACTCCACCTCACAACTTCATCTTCCCATCGTTTTATCACTTATATCATTCTAAGGCAGTCTACCCTCCCAACCATGCTCCACACCTTCAACGACCACAATGACATCTAACATTAGCACCAATGTCTGCATAAAATCAACCTTCCTTGCCTACAGCTAAATGACTAAGCGGCAACTCGATCGTGCTATATAAATGGCACTCTCTCGCGGCCCACTTCCAGTGTGTCAAGTCTTCGTAGCGGCCACGACTCAGCCATGAGACTCGTGAGTATCACCTAAAACAAGTTTGCCTAATACTGCCCTCCATCACTAAACCACCGTGGCTACCGTAAAGTCTTACTCGTACTGAGCCAGGCAGGCACCTGAGCAGCTAACAACTGTGAGCCGTGTTGAAGGCATCTCCTCCCAACCTCATTGTTTCAAGTGTGTCTGCGACAACTATAAAGTGCGACCTGCGGTCATTCCACAACAATTCGTGTGACCACTTGCTGGAAAACAAATTGTGCGGTAGCAGGAGCGCGTGTCAGGGGTGGAGTGGCCGCCCCGCCCCTACTACTAAGTTCACTTACAGCCAGCTACTAAAACTGGAGTGACACGTGTGATACATGTTGCAGTAACTTCAGTTTGTATGATGACCAACCCTCACCACAACCAACTAATGCTCCACCACCCTCATCACAACCACTCAATGGCACAACACAATCATGGAATAATACAATAAACTCCACCATGGAACAACACACTTAATCATGGTACAATATACTCCACCATGGTATAACACACTCCACCACCAAACAACACACTCCACCATGGAACAACACTCTCTCCATCAGTACAATACAGTGTGTCTGGAAAGGCTTGTACACAGTAATATATGAATTGTCGTACTGTACAATCTACATGTAAATATATAAAAAAATGGAGGAATACAGTAGATGGCTCTAGCACACATGTAAACATAATTTCCAAATGCACAAATCATTTAAAGAGAGTAGTTTCTAGTGTATAGTTACAAGTGGGTTCACTGTCAATCGATCATTTGAAACTTTAAAAAAAATCACAATTATGAAACAGGGGGATGTTGTAAAAAAAAACGTGCCGGTCATGCACACGCCCACCAAGGTGACAACCCCAACTTTCACCCTCACAATCACAACGATAAAAAATCACAAATGTATTTTGTGTCGAGGTGTGTGAACAAACTTCTGCTTAGGTAACTCATCTGGCCTTCACACCCCCCTCTCCTCCTTTAACTGTGTTCTTAAAAAATTATTAATGCCATAATCCTCCTTCAGTCACTCTGAACATTCTATCTCCTCACCAAATCACTGTCACTCAGAACATTCTATCTCCTCATCCTTCAGTCACTCAGAACCTTCTATCTTCTCATCCATCACTGTCACTCACAACCTTCTACCTCCTCATCCATCACTGTCACTCAGAACATTATCTCTCTTCGTCCTTCACTGTCACTCAGAACATTCTATCTCTTCGTCCTTCACTGTCATTCAGAACATTCTATCTCTTCGTCCTTCACTGTCACTCAGAACCTTCTACCTCCTCATCCATCACTGTCACTCAGAACATTATCTCTCTTCGTCCTTCACTGTCACTCAGAACATTCTATCTCTTCGTCCTTCACTGTCACTCAGAACATTCTATCTCTTCGTCCTTCACTGTCACTCACCTTCTACCTCCTCATCCATCACTGTCACTCAGAACATTATCTCTCTTCGTCCTTCACTGTCACTCAGAACATTCTATCTCTTCGTCCTTCACTGTCACTCAGAACATTCTATCTCTTCGTCCTTCACTGTCACTCAGAACATTCTATCTCTTCGTCCTTCACTGTCACTCACAACCTTCTATCTCTTCGTCCTTCACTGTCACTCACAACCTTCTACCTCCTCACCCATCACTGTCACTCAGAACATTCTATCTCCTCATCCTTCAGTCACTCATAGCCTTCTATCTCTTCATCCTTCTCAGTCACTCAGAACATTCTATCTCCTCATCCACCACTGTCACTCACAACCTTCTACCTCCTCACCCATCACTGTCACTCACAACATTCTATCTCCTCATCCTTCAGTCACTCAGAACCTTCTACCTCCTCATCCATCACTGTCACTTGCTCACAATCTCTCCCTGCCACCGTTTTCTCACACAATTTATCAGAGTCCTTGTCAAATCATTCAATACCATTCACAATTATGTAGAATTTCTTGGTTAACTTTTCTAATGCAGTATTTTAGAAAACATTACCAGTGGTAATTTGCGATATCTCTTAGTATGGAAATGTATTACAGTATGTAACTACGTACTGTACTATTATAATCTTCAAAATGGTGTAACAAAGAAATTTTTCACTTAGTAATACAGTAATTAAAGGATATTTTTGCCATTTTGTAGCTGGGTAAATTGTTTTAAACCTCCCCACAACAAATCCCTAAGCACTTTGTACAACAGTAAATTTTCCCAAAACTTCACAGGGTACAAAATTTTGTATCCATGAGAACTCCAGCAAACTCTAGTTTGTTTATATATATATATATATATATATATATATATATATATATATATATATATATATATATATATATATATATATATATATATATATATATATTATATATATATATATATATATATACACACACACACACACACACACACACAGGTTGTACCTCTCTAGTCCGGCAACCTCGGGACCTGACCGGTGCCGGACCATGGAAATTCACCCTTTTCCTGGATAGATAGTGACTTGTGCTTATGCTTGGAAGCACTAGCACCACTTTCTCTGCATCATGGTCTCTTTGAAGACATATTGAAGGGTTAAATGTCGTATAGTAGCTTCTCAAATTTCGCGAGTTTTTAATTCAACGTGTTTTATTGGAACACAAAAAAAAAAAATAAAAATTTTGACGGCGGAAACTTGAATTTCGACGGGTTTGAACGGCCCGCCGACGTGCATAATCGTGTAAACAGCGTCATTTCTCTTATGTACAAAAGATTCATTATTGTTTATTACTGAATGTCTTTTTTATTGAATTAATGTTTGTGTGCAAAATGAGCAATACAATTCATTCATAATACGTAGAATATTAAAACACACAAGGAAATGACGCAGCATTGTTTTCGTTGATTACAAAACCAGTGACTGACTGGTTCTACATATAAATCTGAAGAAAATAAAACTTTGGTTGTAGCTGTAGTAAAATTAATATGGTTGTTTTAAGTAATGTTATTTAATGTTAATAAATGGAACAATAGAAGTAGCTAATGATAATGGTAAAGAAAAAAGAGAGATCGCGTATGTAAGTGCGCACACGTGAAAACATATCGTCATTACTTTACATAAGAATATGAAAGCAACACTTATTTACTGTTCATATATATTTTAATTAATGTTTCTGAATTTGTTTTTATTGAATTAATGTTTGTGTGTGCAAAATTAACAATACAATTTATTAATAATACGTGGAATATTAAAACACACGATGAGACGAGACGGCTGCCGGCATTGTTTATGTTAAAGCTTACAAAACCAGTGACTGATTGGTTCTACATATAAAACTGAAGAAAATAAGACCCTGATTGTAGCTGTAGTAAAATTAATGTAAAAAAATTAATATGGTTGTTTGAAGTACCTGTAATGTTATTTAATGTTAATAAATGGAACAATATAAGTAGCTAACCATTAATGGTAAAAAAAAAGTGAGACTGCGCGTATGTAAGTGCGCACATGTGAAAACATATCGTCATTACTCTACATAAGAATATGAAAGCAACACTTATTTACTGCTCATATATATTGAAGGGTTAAATGTTGTACTCTGTATAGACAAGCAGAGAGAGAGAGAGAGCAGCCGAACTGCCGGATGTAAACAAACCTTAATTTCCCGCGGCTGTTTTTTTTTTTTTAAGGGGATTAGCCCACCCGGGCATAGGTCACTGACCCACATTGGGGCCTGAGGGGCAAAAATTTAATACTCCTGTAATAATAATAATTATTCAGATAAGTAAAAAAAAAAAAAGCTGCCTATCTACCTATTGGACAAACTAAAATCGTTCCGGACCACAGAATGCCGGACTAGAGAGGTACAACCTGTATATATATATATATACTCTGTATACAGCTCCTCCCCGACTTACGACCACCCACACTTACGACCTGCCTCAGTTGTACCAAAATTTTGTCAAATTACGTATTTGCGAGTCCCAACGTCAGTACACAGAAAATTTTCGTTTGTAATTCACTTTAAAATGGCTGGCAAGCTTAAAAGTGAGTTTTGTGGTGCTGAGAAGAAAAAGAGACACCCATTTTAGATTTTCTATGTATTATTTAAGCATTTTCGACTTACGACCTGGATTTGGGTCCCTAACCCTGTCGTAAGTCGGGGAGGAGCTGTACAGTATTGTACAGTACAGTACAGTATACTAGTTCCTTCCTGCTATCATGGTATCTGAATGCAAAAATTACAGTATACAGCCTGTAGTTCTGTAAATCTTTTATTCAACTCTTAATTACTCCAATTTCCCCCCAAATAATAAGCTCCTAATAGTAATAAAACAAAAAATACGGTTGTGTATCACAAAAATAATCATTTCACACCATTAACCCTTTGTGTGTGTAGGGTGTATTGTATATGCAGTAATTTGTCGAGTATAGCACTGGAATTTATCTCTGAAAATTTCTTAGAAATTTTAATGAATAAGTGTCTCAAATATGATCTTCCATTCCTCCTAACTACAGTGCAGTACTACAAAAATTTACCCCTTGTACTGTACTGCAGTTTTCTAAAGACAACTTCTCAAAGAACTAAAAAGCACTGTACAGAATAGACTGGAAATAACTGGTTAATGTACAAGCTCTGATAGGGAAACAACATGCAGATCCATGATATGGGAACCAGACAAGAACGATAAGTGAGAGTGTGAACACCACGAAGGCACACTCCGTGACTGCCATGAACGAGGCAAAAAATAACATACTGTACTGCCAACACTTTCTCTTTCACGTCATGCTCCGCTTACAGTGATGCAATAATGTACCACAGATTCTGCTGCTACACACCTATACACACACTCAATATATATTTATACATACTGTACATACACACACACATACTGTAAAACATGCTAAAAGGGGAAAATTATGTACAGCAATAGAAATGATTTCCATAAATTTCTTTTGAAAATCCAAACTGATCAACATACAGTATTAAGATGATCATGATATTCATACTATAAACTCTACTGAATAGTTTTAATAACCAATCAAATGTAACCTAATTCAGGAATAACCTGGTTATGTTACAATAATAAATAAGGTCTCAAAAGAAACATGATAACTTTTGCTACATATAAACTTATTTCCATAAAGTTATAGCAATAAAAACAAAATCTTATCCCTATTTGACAAAAACGTCAGAAGTAATTTAAGGCTTAATTGAGTGCTTATTCATATTTAGCATGACACAAACACACACACACACACACTAATTCAAATACATGTATTGGTTGAAATAAAGCTGCGTCACCAGGTGGTGGTCCTGCACCCACACCACACTCACAGGTGAAGTGGAGGAGGGGGGAAGGGGAGACTGCTGTAAAAGTGAAAGTAAGAATGACCACCAGTCTGCCTCCCACCATCCTTACCACCACCCCTACCTACCACAAACAAACTTTTCAACATTATTACCACCCTTACCTTCCACTACCATCATTACCACCACTCCTACCTACCACAATCATCCCTACCAATATTATCATCACCCCTACCTTCTGTACATAACCACCACTCATATCTATCAAAACCATCCTTACTACCACTCCTACCTCCCACAACCATCCCTACCAACATTATCATCACCCCTACTTGCATAACCACCACTCATACCTATCACAACCATCCTTACTACCACCCCTACCAACATTACCACCACTCCTACTTTCCACAACCATCCCTACCAACATTAATATCCTTACCCTCATTGCCACCACTCCTACATCCCACAACCAACCCTACCAACATTATCCCCAATTTTGCCTACCACAACCAACTCTACCAACATTATCCCCACTCCTATTTATCACAACCACTGTACTTCACGACATCACACCCACCTATTACCTGCATCAACACAACTCTTTCCTCTGGGGAAATGTGAGGTATGAAGTTAAGAGTTGATTACACAGTTTTGACCTGGATGTGGTGAACTAAATGGTAGAAGGTCACTTTAGCCAAGACACAATGGCAGGTTGAGATCAGGTCCACACCCTCATGAAAATATACAAAAACTTGCTGAACTACAAAGCTGCCATACAAATTGTAGTGCAGCACTGTGTTTTCCTTTTATTATGACCAAGAGGCCCATAAGCTGCAACTACTGTTTCAAATTTTAACATCAAGCAAGAAGATATGGCAATAACTTTTACCTCCAGTATTAATGTGCCCCCCCCCCCCAAAAAAAAAATTGACAAGTACAGTAGTACAGTATCTCCATACACTTTATCCACCATTTTGTACTGCTGCACACTGGCAATAAATTTTGATCAAAGTGGCTTCTGTACCCAATATGCCAATTTAGTATTTTATGATAATAAAAAAATTACATTAATTCATTTCCATTAGACCCCGAGTTTTGGTTAAAATGTACAGTACAGTATAATAATTTGCCACAAATTTAGATTAGAAATACAGTAACCACACTATCTTTTACACTACAGTACCATGAGAGTGTGAAGACTACAAAGTTTTCAAGTTTACTTAAATAAAATTATCCCTATCCAAGCACAATATGTATGGAATGTGATACTCCACTAAACAGTACAGTACAGTACATCAAACATCAGATTCAGTATAACTGATTGTAAATCAGTTATATGTCTCCAATATTTTCTGTGCATTGGAACTCAAGGAAGTCCTAGCTTGGAGCTAATCTAAAGACTAGCTCAGCTCTCTCATACCCCAAATTTGGAGAGGTAAAGTTATGTGTGTTCAATCATAATTCCTGTATTTCTAGGGCTACTAAGAAAATGTAAATTTGTATTTACTTTTTAACTATAATTTGACCCTTTCTATCCATATAATGAAGCATGGGATATTATTATAAAAAGTAATAATGAAGTGTAACTCTTTGATAACTTAGGTTACAACCAGATGATTCAACGTGGCTCTTCATAAACTGAATGTGAACTTTTACCTTCACTCTGGGCAACAAGCATTAAAAACCAAGTTAAAAAAATATTGGATTAAACATACATTACTGTATTAAAACATTGAGCCATACAGTATGCAAATAATTTGTGCACGAGCAAGTATTCTAATGGCTGTTGATTATACTGAAATCTTCCTTTCGCTATGAACTTTTAGCTACGTACTGTACTGTGCTAGTAAATTTACAAATTACTGCTATCTTTAATTTCCAATACTTTCAATTATGTACTACTAAAGGTGTGTTAGATGGTGTCCCCAAGACAGAGGCAAACCATCACTGCACATCATATTCACTGGTCACACAGCCTTTAATTTCTTCCAAGGGAATGAGTTTTCAAAGACAAGATTTTCACGCAATTGCTCACAGAAGCACCGGGGTTGGGATCTCAACCATCCAAACACTAACAATACAGTACAGAACATGGACCTCATTAATCCGGGAAGCTTGGGACCAGACTGGTTCCGGATTAGCAAAAATTCCAAACCATTGAAGAGGAGGTTAAAAAAGGCAAAATAATGCATAAAATGTACTACAGGGGGGTATTACTGTCTAATTTATTCAGCATAGATATCTTTCTTAAAGTAGTTAAAGTCACATGCTTACATTTTGCCACATTACTATCATTTCCACTGCTTGCTGGTCCCTTAGGAAGCATATTTATGGGTAAATTTTAAGTATTTAAAGGTACTGTAAAATAGTGGCAACAGCCACTAGAAGTGAGCTATGACACCGTCCCGAACCATTGAAGCTGCCAGACTATCGGGTCCCAAGTTAGCGAGATGCAACCTGTACCGTATGTGTAAAATGCCTTAAGTTCAAGCAACTGCCACCACTGCATCTAGCCAGTTATAAAGGCTGGCTCCTCTGCTTCAACTTCTACTGTGGCTAAATGCAAAAAGTGCACAGATTGTAGAACCTCATTAGCCCATTTAAAAAGTTTGTTTGGAGCTTGGATCTGACCATATCAAGCCATCTTGCTGCCAAAAATTTAAATGTGCCAACAAATCTATCACACAATCCTTTCCTATGAGATATATCAAAGAAATGCCATTTTTCAGGAATATGAAGATTCTACACATGGAAAGCTAAGTTCATGTATCTCAGACTGACATTTCCATAACCTAAAATTCTTGAGCTAGCACAAGTGTGTACAGTATAACCATACCAGTGCTCAAATAAAATTAATTTCAGTTCACAGTTTTGCCTTCTAATCCTCTTTTGCCTACCAATCCTGTTAATCCTGCCTTTTTATTTTTTTCTCTCACTAATACAATATAATGGTCCCAACAAAGTGGGGTAAAATGGACCTGACACAAAGGTTGACTAGGGGGTCGTATGGGCAGAATATTGTAAAATACTGTATTGAGCATTAATGAGAGTTTGGATTTGTTAACAACACAACTTAATATTTATACTGCTAAAAAAATTAACTAGAAATGTAACTTCCTTTAATTGAACAAGTTATGCAACTTAACACTTAACCCCTTGTGAATGGGATCCTCTCTCCACTGAATATCACCTGGTGTTAGCCAAATAAATTATCAAAAGTGGCAACCTGTAGCTTTGAAACAATACCCCTTTCTTTAAATCTAACATAGACCTATTAAGAAATTGCAGCCTCCAGTAATTCATATTCAGATTGATCTTAAGCAGTCAGCTTTCTTGTTACATAAACCAAAATTTTAGTTACTTTACAAATAAGTAATTGCATTTGATTCAAGAATTTTTTCTCTTCTAATTCTTTTGATTTCTTAATGAATTCTAAAGTTAAATTAAAAAAATTCATAAAAATCCTCACTCCTTCATCTAAACTGTTAAGTTAATCAAATTATGCTTATAGATTGTTTAGTACAGTAAGTTGTTTCTTAATGTTTTCACTCTAACATTTTACTGAAGTAACAACAAATTATAGTTAGCAAGAAACATGAAAGATATTTTCTTATTGAAGTAAGACACTGCTATTGTCTTCAAAGAAGTAACATCAACCACTGTCTGATATGCCATTACTGTACTGTAACGACTTTCCGGTAATCAATAAGTTTACAAATCTTAATGCTTATAGTTATTATTTACAAATGTAATACACTAAATTCTGTACACACAGTAATATCAAATAAATAATTTGAATCATAGCCAGTGGTTAAAATTACTGTACTCGCCATTATTATTAACACTAACTGTATACTAAAGCAATAAATTAAGATATTAAGTACGAATTCCAAGAACTACTCAGTCCCTACAGAGGATTGAAGCCAACTCACTTGTGTGACACCATCACAGAATTCACATTTACTTTAAATAATATTTACAGTACAGTTCATGTTCTTGTCTAATATATGTGATAATGTTTCAGGCTGCCTTGGTGGTGCTGGTGGGATGTGCTGCATGGCTGGTCAATGCCAGTCCTGCTCCACTAGACATAAAACCAGTCGACATTTCAACTCTCATTGCAACAGTTCCTGGACTTAAAGAGGAACTGGAAGCCAAGATAAAAAAAGATTCAGGTAAAATTTCAATTGTAGCCACAGCCACCAATGCCCCCGCTACCACTGCCCCAACAACCACTACCTCTGCACCACAAGCAAATGCTCCTCCAACACCAGCCCAGACCACAACACCAAGAAGCACAGAGGGAGGAAAACGTCACAGACCATTAAGACGCCGTGGTGGAAGACGTCGCCTACAGCCTAATGATCAGAATCCTGAAGAAACAGAAGCAACTTCCCAACCTCGGCGACAGAAAAATGCCCGCACTTTCCCACAAGCACCATAGTAAAACCCAAATTCACGAGGTCAAAGTGAACACGAAGTAAATAGCATGCAGTTTATAATTCACATAAATTAGTTGAAAAAGCAATGATTATCAAAAATGTCTTACTTCTATATTTATAATAATGTATCATAAAAGAAAAGGTTACAAGTTTTCACACTTGCATCTTATTGAAGTTTGACATATCTACAATGTAATATACCCTAGAGATCTTTTTCAAACACTACACACTCAAGTTCACTTTACCTGAAACACTTAACAGGAACCTCGTTAAAATTTTGTCTGACACAAATGCCCCTCTGGTACAGAACTAAAATCATGCAAATAGCTTGATTATCAAATGAAGATATATAAGGAAGCACATAAAGATGACTACAAAATTTCATACTTTGTTGGAAATATCCTGCTAGAAAAACTTAGGTGAGATGGAAGTACAGCTCCTCCCCGACTTACGACCACCCGCACTTACGACCTGCCTCAGTCGTACCAAAATTTGGTCAAATTACGTATTTGCGAGTCCCAAAGTCAGTACACAGACAAAATTTTTGTTTGTAAATCACTTTAAAATGACAGGCAAGCTTAAAAGCGAGAGTTTTGTGGTGCTGAGAAGAAAGAGAGACACCCATATTAGATTTTCTATGTATTATTTAAGCATTTCCGACTTACAACCTGGATTTGGGTCCCTAACCCAGTCGTAAGTCGGGGAGGAGCTGTACGATACAGTACAGAATAACAGACAGGTGTAAATCAGCGTATTGTACTGTACTGGCTCAGATGGGACATGAATACAGTATATACCCTTTACTACCTTTGGCTCTTCAGGAAGTGTCATATAAATTATAATAAAGCCTTTTAAGGCATATACTACTGTAGATTTATTTACATACTTTATGAAATTTGCACATGCAGCACATTATGAAGGGGATCCCCTGTTACATATTCCTTCCATTATATATCATCACTGCTTTGAGCAAAACTATTATATGAAGTCTGTTGTTACTGGTATTTCATTGATTAATAAATATTCCCATTTATATAGCAATGCAAAATACTGCATGATAAAAGGAAACTAAAAAACAATGATGTTAGCATGACAGATCTTGACATTTTTTCCCAGGGAGTAAGAAATGTGAGCATATGGTTCAAGTAACTTTTGTGAAATCTTATCAAAATAACTCGTTATGTTGTCAACAAATGTCTCCAAGACAAAATGACACAATGGACCAAATTTGATAGATAAAGTTGAAGTTCCTCAGAAGTAGGATAGAACCTCTTTAGCCATCTATACAGGAAAATCTATTTGGCATACAGTACTGTATACATTCACATTTGTCAAATCTCCTAAAACATGGTTTTAGTGAATCTTAGGAATGACAAAAATGCTAGAAAACCTCAACAGTATTACATACATGGCTGGCAAAATTACATGGTCATGATTCCTTCCACTTTTCCTGGGTCATGAAAACCTAAGAACATCCCTACCACTACTGTACAATACAGTACTGTATCGGCAAACACTACACTACAGGTTCCCCCAATTTCATTTATTTCAAATTCCAGGTCTTTTCAACACTATTTTACTTTTTATTTAAGGACATCAAAGCATATTGCAGCTGCCTAGTCACACCCAGCAGAATCTACACCAGTTTTACAATCATCCTCACACTGAGGTTAATGATTTATTAACAAAAATGAAGGTTATTACTTAACTATTCAATGGTGTATACAATAATTACTGTAGATTCTTACATCTATTAATTATTAAATCCATACGTCTTGAGAACCCAAGTCAAAATTTTTTATTTACCTTTTCCAGTTCTTACAAATTTCAAGATAGTAAGGTAAAACTGATGCTAATGTAATTATAATGAACAAATTTCATGAATTAAAGCTCCTGCCTATTGAAACTACAGTATAAAAATTAGGATTATACTGTGATGAAAATAAATGACTGTACGTTTCTTTAGTCTGAAGGGATCAACATAAAATGTCATGTCACACAATCTCAAATTATGTTACAGAAGTGCACTAAGTTTTCATGCCAGCATTAGAAAGTTTCAAATGTGATTCTAAGAAATGGTGACCAAAGTGGCACTCCGACATTACAAGTATATTAGTAGTATCCTGTAGTATAACTACTGTACCTGTACAGTAACTATGCACAAACTTGGCAGCCTTGATTTTGAAACAGCATACAATTTTACAGATACCAGTATTAAGTGGGTACAAAGAATGTGATCTTGATTTCATAACAGCATTGTCACGCAAATTTGGCCATTAAACATTTACAGTACAAGCATACGACAGGTTTGTAAATTGACATGAATGAAAAATTACCTTGAAATGTGATCACTGATTATAACCTTGAATGCAGCAATACAGATTTAGTACATGACACACTCTAGTGGTTAGACACAGCAAGTAATTAGACATAATAATCTTTGTGGCAACTGCCCGAGTGCTGCAGTTATCACTCAATAAAATATTTATACATAGATACCACAGTACCAGTATAACAAGAGAGCATCTGAATACAGATTAAAAAAGCATGTGAATCAAGATCAATCCTGGGAAGATGTACTCATTAATATAGTTTGGAAGTTTCCTAAATTCATGTACTGTACTGTATTCTGACTTACTGGATAAATAAATAGATGAATGAGCCAAAATGTAGAGAGGAGGATAGGCCAGGGAAAGCCAAGAATGACATGGAGTGGGGTTGTAAGAAATGACAGAGTTAGGAACTGGACAAAAGCGACTACAAGAGACCATGCAGCATGGTGAGCTGCCATCAGGTAACCATGGCTAACCTATACAAACATGGAAAATGACCATAGAATATTGTTGATTAATGATATAGAAGTGGAGTGCCACCAGCAACCCTGGCTTCAATCCTACATCCATAAATTTCGTATGTACCACATCTGTTATTAGTGATACACATCAACTTTCATCATAATAACTCACTTGGCTGATGTTTACAGCAGCTGTTGAAGTGTGACAAATTAAGGCAGGTTATGGTAACCCTGACTTTGACCCATGAATCCTAATTGCTATGCAATTGGAACCTGGGATAAATACTGAACCAAATGAGCTAAAGAGCCACACAACACCCTAAACTCTGGCAAATTCAGTCTGAATATATAATCATTTTGAAACTAGAGACAGTCATTCCTGCTGCTAAGAACTGTGGCAAGGTCAAAGGGGACTTCATTCATAAGTAACCAGTTTATGCCCATTTCTCTAAAGCACCTAAAAACATGAAGACTACACAATTAAATTAAAAATAAACCCAAATCCATCGCATTAAAAAAAATTATGAGATCCTCGGCAAAAAACATCACCAAGCACTCGTAAGTTCCACAATACAGTATGCACATTAAAATCATCCATCTGTTGCTGGTTCCACTTTAACACTGCATTTTACAACTTATGTGCTTCTCTGATCATACTCTTCCATAAAGTAGAAGCCTCACTTTCCTGCTGAATTTTAAATTACCTCAGTGTGTTTTTATCCATTTGTTTTCACTACAATATTTTCTTATTTTTCTTCAAATAAGAACCTAAGTAAAACCTCTATAAATCGGATTTTAAAAAAACGGAATTCGCTTTTTTCGGACTCGGAGATGCTCTGGTCACCAGATATAGTATTAAAAAAAATAAATAAAACATGAAAAGGGGAAGATTAAATAAAAAATATTTTATGAAATGGACAACACTTACTGAATAGTGTACAGTGGTCTAATCAGATTTGCTATATGCCTTCTGAGAACTAAGAAACTTGAGCATGTAAGCAGGTTGGGTCTGATCAGGTGTTGCCGCATTCGTCAGGTTTATTTATTTATTGATTCAGTATTATATTCTCATATGATTGGCCTCTTATGGTTTATGGTTCATCATGATTAATATAACATCTTCAGTAATAGATAAAAAATACAATACTGTATGTAATTTGTAAGATGACTTGAAAATAGAAGGATAAGCTGTATGAGAAGGTTATTTACTGAAGATGTGTTTGTGCGAGGGCTTTCTGCAGACTAGGTTACAACGGGTCACTACAACACACTGTATAGTATAGTATTTAATATGAAGATACCTTTATAAAAACGTTTTTTACTACCTTTGAGTGTTATATGATGACTCAGTTTGGCTACTTGTACACTTAGACAAATGATTAATGAATAAACCAGGGTATACTGTATGCAGATACATAATACTTTACACTTTACAGTAATATCTCCATTAGTTAGAATCCCTCAAACCTGGAAATCTCTGATAGCCAGAATTAAAATTTGCTCAGAAAATCACTCAGAGCCGTAATTTTCCAAAAATTTCCGGCTTTTGGAACAAATTTTCTGAGGTTGAAGATCAAAAGCATTTTCTGAAATTGTCTTGAATAAAGACGAAAGTTAAAGTATTTGGGAGTACAGTGAGTTCTCCTATAACGCGTGTTTTGATAACGCGAATTTGCTCTAACGCGATTTATGAATTAGGAACGATATTTGTATAACGCGAACGCTTGTTTGCTATAACGCGATTTTTGCTTACTATTTCTCCAATTTTGTGGTATTAACTGTGAATATGGTAAAGAAGAATATCTCCAAGAAGCGTTCTGGTGATAGAATTCCCGGTGATGATCGTAAAAGAAAGGATATAACACTTGAAGAGAAGCTCGATGTTATCAACCTCAAAATCACCCTTCTCCCCCATCAAGTTACATTCATATTTTTTCAAGGTAAAGTATTACATTTACTGTATGATTTCATTATTAGATATGAATGTAACATTTATTTAGACTGTGCTATCCTTTGTGTTAGGCTAACTACTAAATTTTTTCGATTTCGAGTAATCTGCACCTAACCCTATTTTCTCCATAAGCCCTGTTATTTCTATTACGTGATTTTCTATAACACGATATTTTACAAGAACACAATTATCGCGTTATAGCAGAACTACCTGTACCTGACCTGACTCGATGTCAGGTGGAGGTAGGGTGAGGGATTAGTGGTCTCATGTTGCTGACCTTCTGATGTAATGTCAGGTCACCCTTTCTTGGGTGGGTGATACAGTGGGTCTCATGACCTGAAGATGTCTTGAATAAACACGAAACCTAAAGTATTTTTAAGGAGATTGTGATAAGTATAACTGAGCAGTTGTATCCCTTCAACATTTTAAAATATGGAGTGAGAAAGCAGAAAGGTGTGAGTGGTTAGAGAGATGGAGTGGAAAGGAGTGTAACATGTCCCAGTGTTGCCAAGCGATAAGCTCAACAGCTGATCTTTTAATTCGCCTCCAAGCAGTTACACAACAAGACCCTTGCTGGATGCTTGTCGTCTCAATTCCCATGTGTGTGTGTGTGTGAGAAACATACAAAGAAATTTTGTTGAGCTTGCCAAGCACATTGTAGGATTTGAAGAAGTTGATGAGTTTCTGCAGGAGTCAGGTGGTGAGGTGACAGGCCAAGACACTTACACAGCACCCACATTAACAGCACTACTAAACCATTATCTTATAACATTTAACATTATAATTTATATCTTAAATTTAATTGATACATGATGGCCCGACTGGGCTACTTTTGCACTTAGACACCTGATCAATGAATAAACCAGGGCATATGGGGGCGCATTATACACTAGTGATGTCACTAAGCTTTTTAACTGCAACCACAACTTCTGAGCAACTGCATAATTTATCACAACCTGTACTCAAATGTGCAAGTTAATTACTAAAAATTTTATGTCTAGTGCAAACTATGGGATGTTTATACTCAAATTAATTGCTATCTTGCAAGAATTCCAGCAATGCAAGTTATATTCTGCTAAATCAAGTCAGTGATATTTTACAGGTTGACAACCTCTTATCTGAAATTCCAAAAAACCCTGTGCATGACATACTCTATTTTTTATTATTAATTTTTTTTTTTACGGGGATTAGCCCACCTGGGAACAGGTTACTGACCCACATCAGTGCCTTGGGGGCAAAAATGTAATAATAAT